GGGGGGTTATCTAACTTTAATTCATTGTTTTATATACAATTATTAGTGATGCTTACCAGCTATTTAATTTATTAGCCTCCTCTTTTGATATTGATTTTTTTTTTTTTTGAGATGGAGTCTTACTCTGTCACCAGGCTGGAGTGCAGTGGCGTGATCTCGGCTCACTGCAACCTCCGCCTCCTGGGTTCAAGCAATTCTTCTGCCTCAGCCTCCCGAGTAGCTGGGACTACAGGTGCGCACCACCACGCCCAGCTGAGTTTTCTATTATTTTTAGTGAAGACAGGGTTTTACCATGTTAGGATGGTCTCAATCTCTTGACCTCATGATCCGTCCACCTTGGCCTCCCAAAGTGCTGGGTTGTGTCCAGCCGATATTGACATTTTTAAATGGGATAAGTACAATAGATTGTGAGTCTGTCATATTTTTGTTCCCAAAATGCATTCCTTTATTTTCCCTATAAGGCAGTTGTAGTTTATCAATCCTAAGAACTTGATAGTCAAATAATTTCTCTTAGTAATCCCCAAGGCTTCCATGAGCATATTTCTGGTGCTGACAGCCAAGAAAATAATTTGGGGGTCTTTCTCCATAGCTAGGAGATTCTTTGGTGTTTTGGTTATATACACAAATTCACTGGTAACTTTGTGTTATCATAAAATAATAGTTCACTCCTATCCCTAACAGTGTTCATTGTGCTTTCTTTTCCTCAAACATACTGATTCCATCTTGAACAACTTCATCAGTGTGTCCTTTTGGCTTCATGGGTTATAAAAAGTGTAAGAAAAGCCAGGGTTAGGGCACCAACTCTCACACCTTCATGTTCAGGCTTATCTCTAAGTAGCTGTTTTCTATTGTTTACTGCTGATGGTGTGAGGGTGAGTGTGGCATGGGTGAGCTGCAGCTTCCTTTGCTAAGGAAGCAGACACCTTTGCCTTTCTGTTGCCCAGCAGCCTCTGGCTGGAGCTCAGACACCTCAGTTTCTCTGAATGGATAGAAAGCTGTTCAATAGGAGACCATTTATTATCTTTATAGAATGTAATAATCATAGTTACTGAATATTCCAACTGGATTTTAATGTCCCTAGACTAGCTCAGTGTTAATGCTACTTCAAAACAATCATTTAATTGTTCTCGGCAACTGTTTGCACGTACTGTTTTCTAAGGGTAGATATTTATTTGCCATTTTTAAACTTTTGTCTCTTATGAGGAAAGGTACTTTTGAACAATTTCCACAAACGTACTGACTTGGAAATGCCGAACCCTGAGTTAGAGATAGAGAAAGCCGAAAAACAAAGCAATTTGCTCTGAGGAATTTCTTGAAGGATTAGGAATTTGTGGGAACAGTAAAGGTGAATGTAGGGCCAAAACCAGGAAGGCTTGTTGAAGGTCTAAGAACACAGTAGACCCTCTCAGTGCAATTTCCTATTCCCCACAGCCATGCGAATATCCTTTATTTACCCTACAGGCCACCAGGGACAGTTGAGGTGGAAAATAGGGGGTGAAATGAATGATTAACTACCGGATCTTGAAATTCCCTCTTAAAGCTGTTTCCTGTCTGGACTCCCAGAGCTCTGGCAGCTGGACTTTATATCTTTCTAGAGGGAGAATGGAAGATTCTGATTAGCCAGTCAATTAAAATAGTGATATTAGGGTTTTGCCAAGAAACAACTCAGCCTGACTCCCCTAGAGTAAGCAGAGAGCCAAGGACATCAGTTTTAATCTAAAGGAAAACCTGTACTATAAAAGACACATACTAAAAAAGCAGAACGCAAACATAGAGACTATACTGGGAGAGAAAAATGTCAAAAAAATTTTATTACTAATGTCTCCAGAATGACATCAAATCATGAAACAGAAATAGAATGACACAAAAAAGAATGAGAAGGATTTTGGGCAATTAAAACTCTTTTAGCAGAAATGAACAGTTGAGTAGAGAATTTGGAAGGTGATGTTGAGAAAATTTACTAGAGTCTCCTGAAACCTTACAAGTTTGAATAGCAATTAAATGGTTTGGCTCTATGTCCCCAGATAAATCTCATCTCAAATTGTAATCCCAGGTCCCAAGGAAGGGAAGTGATTGGATTATGCGGGCGGTTCCCCCATGCTGTTCTCATGGTAGTGAGTTCTCATGAGATCTGACAGTTTTCCGTGTTTGGCAGTTCCTCCTTCACAGCACTTCTCTCTCCTGCCACCCTGTGAAGTAAGTGCTTTCTTCCCCTTTGGCTTTTGTCATGATTGTAAGTTTCCTGAGGCCTCCCCAGCCATGTGGAACTGTGAGTCCATTAACTCTCTCTCCTTCAGAAATTACCCAGTCTCGAGTATTTCTTTATAGCAGGGTGAACGCAGACTAATACAGCAAGACAAAAAGGTAAAAGTAGAAGGAAAAAGCTAAGAAAATTAGAGAGGATGCATACAAATGGTTCAACATCTAAATAGAAATTTCAGAATGAGAAAACAGATAATGAAACAAGTCATTAAATAATTCCAGAAAGTTTCTCATAATTGAAGGTAGCATTGCTGGATAAAAAGGGCTTTCACAATGGATGAAAATAGACACAAATCAGTAGCCTAGAATATACCTAGAATGCTACACTCAGATAAATTATCAATGAGGTATGAGAGTAGAATAAAGATACTATCAAATATACCCAGTCTCAAAAAATTCAGCTCTTATCACTCGTTCTTAGGAAGCAACTGGATGAAGGGAACCATAAAAATGAGGAAGAAAAACCAGAGAAATAGAGATCCAACTCAAGAGAGAAAAAAGAGAAATCCCCAGGCTGATTAAAAAGAGACTCCAGGAAGACAGCTGTGCACCTGGCAAAGAGAGCTACCAACTTAAATTAGAGGAGGGCAAAAGACTCCAGGAAAGATGGCTACAAAACCAATGACACTGGCTGGGTGTGGTGGCTCACACCTGTAATCCCCGCACTTTGGGAGGCCAAGGCAGGCAGAACACAAGGTCAGGAGTTCGAGACCAGCCTGGCCAACATGGTGAAACCCCATCTCTACTAAAAATACAAAAATTAGCCAGGCATGGTGGTGTGTGCCTGTAGTCCCAGACACTTGGGAAGCTGAGACAGGAGAATTGCTTGAACTGGGGAGGCAGAGGTTGCAGTGAGCTGAGATCACAGCATTGCACTCCAGCCTGGGTAACAGAGCAAAACTCAATCTCAGAAAAAAAAAAAAAAAAAAAAGGATGATATTGGTAGCACCTGTGATATATTTTAAAACATCAGGAGGACAGTTAGATGGAGTGAGCTGGGGGATGAATTAATGACAAATACTTAGAAAACTAAAATCTTGAAGAGAACGACAATTATTAATTATAAGGAGAAAATAATTTGTGCAGGAAAGGGAAAAGTACTCCTAACATACTACCTGGCTAAGCTTGGTAATCTAAGCACTGAATAGTGATTCAATCAATATATAATTATATTGAGAGGATGGGGGGCACCAGGGAATCATATGAACTTGAAGCAGGGACTGAAGAAGGGTAACAGAATATGTATCTTCATTTTCCATAGTGGTACAGCAATGAATAATGAATAATTTTTACAACTGAGAAAATCAAGAAATCACACAGATGTAGATTTTAGAAATAAGAAGAAAATTAGCCACAGGTAAAAAGAAAATGTTTTGCCTTTGGGAAATCCAAAATTGATGGTTTTTCATAACAAGTATTTTAGGACTATTTGACTCTTTAAACTAGGTATACGTAACTTTGATAAAGAATAAGAACTAAATTTTTAAAAGCATCATGACTTTTCACCAAATCCTTGCCTTTTTGGTATTTTGGCTTCTAGGTATACTGGATTTGAGTAACTATGAATTTAAACTTAAACTCTGTACAAATAAAAAATTGCCTTGACTTTCTAAAAGTTCTGCTGCATAATATTAAATAATCTATGTACTATGGACACGAAGGGTTAAATAGCTACTTGCCAATTTCTTCAGTTAACAATGAGTATCTACTTAAGGACAATATTAAAGTGCTGTTTTTATTTCAGTGTCTGTCCTGAGTATAGAAGCCAGTATCTAAATATAAACATATAAATATATCTGTGTCTTGGGTACAAGGCTATGTTTGATTTAAGATTTTGAGGTGGAGAAGCAATTTTCCTTTCTCGCTTACATTTTTTTTTTCTGTCAATTGATCCATTCTTCTTTTAACTATGTACGGAAGGGCTATAGGGCCAGGAAACTGCACAGCTTCAAGGGGGCATGACTACATTAGACACGTGTTAATGGCACCTCTTGTGGGGCACAAAGCCAAGGAGAAAACAAACAGTAGGTATGAAAAGGGAGAGACTTTTTACCACTTGAGAGGGAAGTGTGAGGGTAGAAGGAACAGCCATGTGGGCCTGGCATGGTGGCTCGCACCTATAATCCCAGCACTTTGGGAGGTTGAAGTGGGTGGATCATGAGGTCAGGAGTTCGAGTCGAGCCTGGCCAACATGGTGATACTCTGTCTCTACTAAAAATACAAAAAATTAGCTGGATGTGGTGGTGGGTGCCTGTAGTCCCAGCTACTTGGGAGGCTGAGGCAAGAGAATTGCTTGAACCTGGGAGGTGGAGGTTCCAGTGAGCCAAAATCACACCACTGCACTCCAGCCTGGTGACAGAGCAAGACTCTATCTCAAAAAAAGAAAAGAAAAAAGAAAGAACGGCCATGTGGAGTAGAAATTCTACAATGGAGAGCTCAAATGTAACTTCACTGCACTCATTTGAAACCCTAGACCTAATAGATTTGTGCTCCAGTGACTGCTTTCAGGTGGTTAGAGGTTTTGTAGACTTATGTCTCAGCAGATGTCAAAAGAGAGAGAAAAAGAAAAGAAAGAAAGAACAGCAGGAAGACATGGACCCTCTCTGCAAATGATATAACTGAATTCTAAGAAGTGGAATTAAATGTTTTATTTATTTCAACTTGCTAATCTTTGCTTCCTCTCTCTCCTGTCCACCTCCCTTCCCCTTTCTCCTGGAATCCAGCCCTGGCAACTCAGATAGTGATGAGGTCATGGGCTCCAAAATATGGCCATGGTATGAAGGTGGCAGCACAAATTTTTAAACAACATTTCAGCACCACGCCACATTGCTGAGAAGGAAGCCTGTGTAATGTGAGCAACTATAGCTCATGCTATTTTATTAATCCTGGGTGATGATCCCTGGGGTTGCATTACTCATGTGTGTGTCTGTCTCTGTATGTGTGTCTGTGGGTGTCTTCTGCTGTTTCCTATTTTATATGGCAGTCATCAAGAATTCTTCCGCAGCTTGGACATATCAAAGGGAGAGGGGGCTCTCACCTATCATTAGCAAAGTCTTTGACATTAAAAGCAATGAAAGGGTAAAGGAGAATGACCCTCTCTGACCCAGGAAAATGAAGGACAGGTTATCTCAGTCGGTTGCAAGTGCTCTTTTTCCTTCACAATGAAACAATGCCTCACATCTCACATCCCCTACCTGTGTCAGAGCTTCCTTTTTATTACCTCATTAAGTCAGCAAACTTGCTACCTGGTGGAAATGATTGACGGGGTGATAACAGGAAGGCCCTCTTGCTCATGTTGCAGCAAAGAGAGTGGCTCACATTGAGCCATGATCATGTCACACACTCCAGCCTAGGTGATGGAGTGGCTCTGATTTGCTTATTAAAGAAGCCTTGCTTTTCTCTCAGATAAACCCGTGGTCAGGAGCTCCTTTCTGTTTAAAAAACCACTCCCTAAAGCTCCTTTAACTTTTCCTTTGCCAGTTTCTTCAGAGTATAGATGACTTCTTGGGCAAAAACATGGTGGTATTGAACATCTCTACTTCAAAACCTTTAAAAAGTACCAGGCAGTGCAAAACCCTGAAGATAGCAGTGGATAAAAAGGAAACTAGTATCTACCCTATGTGCCTCAGAATGTCCTTCTGTCTTCAAAGTTGATTTATCCTTCAAATCCCAGATCAATGAGGTCCTTGCCTGATTATTCTCCTGTACTTTTCCGGAAAAGGTATTATTAATCTATGAACTCAGTAAAAATTACTTTGTAGTCCTGGCAACATAGCAAGATCCTATCCATACATACATACATACATACATACATACATACGAAGTAGCTGGTTGTGGTGGTATGCACCTGTATCCCTCTTTTGGTACTTTATATTATACTTATTAGATAATGTGTTATTTCTACTATCTTTACAAAAGCAGAAGCCTTATTTTAATCTTATTTTCCAGGCTGGGCACCATGGCTCACTCCCAGCACTTTGTGAGGCTGAAGCAGGAGGATCATTTTAACCCAGGAGCTTGACACCAGCCTGGACAACATGATGAAACCCCGTCTCTACAAAAAATACAAAAACATTAGCTGAGCGAAGTGGCATGTGCCGATAGTCTGAGCTACTTGGGAGGCTGAGGTGGGAAGATCACTTGATCCTGGGAGGTCAAGACTGTGGTGAGCCATGATGGTGCCACTGCACTCCAGCCTGGAGCGACAGAGTGAGACCCTGTCTCAAAAAAAAAAAAATCTTATCCATCATGGTAAATTAGTAATAATAATAACAGCTAAACATTTCACTTTACATGCATTATGTCTAATCCTCACAATAACCCTTAGAGGTAAAGGCTGTTAAATCCATTTTCCAGAAGACAAAACTAAATCTTTGAGATGTCACATGGCTTGCCTAAGATCACATGGTCAACAAGTGGCCAGCTCTGCTGACGTTTTAAGGACAATCTGTGCTCTGCACATTCTAGTACAAGTTAGAAAGAAACAAAACAGAGTAAGTGAGAGAGGGAGGGAGGGAGGAGGGAGGAGGGATGGAGAGGAAGAAAACATGACCTCAAACTTTGATCCATTTATCGGAATAATACTTCACAGACTTATAAAGTTGTAGAGTCGTGAAAGATTGAAATCATTAGCACATCTACCCTCTATTTTTCATAGAAAGAACAACTGAGGCCCAGAGAGGCTAAGATCCCTGTTGAAGGTTGCACAGCTACTGACACAGCTGAAACTAGCACAGACCTCCATGACCTTGAGCCACACTCTAAGGGGCCTTTCTCTGTGAGATGTAAATTTTGAACCAGGGACTAAGATGTTAATACTCATTTAAAACAGGATAGCAACTAATAGACATATAAACTTGTTTGTTTAAACTCTGGTTTATTGAGGTTCTCTGGCTCCTAAGAAGCAAGGCTTACAATTTTTAAAAGTTTTAATGATGAATTTTCTCATCACCAGACACATACAAAATATCTAAAACATACAAGATAATATAATTATCTTTTGTTTGTTCACCAGAAAGGAAACTTTGACCTTAAAATGTGTTTCACTTCTTAGCAGTCCTAGCAATACAAATAATGCTTTATCCTTGAGCATTCTCTTAAATTCATACTTTCAAACAGCAAAAAGCCAGCAAAATTTAGAATATGACCAAGCCAGTGAGGTGTGCATATTAAAAATATATTTACATAGTTCAAGGCCTTGTAATTTTCCTCAAATAATTGATACGTACTTTTTGAAAAATGTGATTATCAAGCAGTGCAGTTAACCAAGTCCTAGTCTCAGGTCCTTACTACCCCCGTCAGAATCCTAACACTGTCTCCTCCAGGAAGCCCCCTCTCCTTCCTCCTCAATTCCCCCAAAGCTATTGTACTGTCAGGAGTCAGGGACATCTAAGATCTTAGAAATAAGGGAACAGGGCTTGCTTTGGAGGGTTAACTCTAAGTCAACAGGTTGTCTATGAGAACAGAAATGTTTCAAGTTGCCTCATAAATGGACTGAGCACAGAACAGAGCAGACTAATGGGATATATTTACATATCTAAGGAAAGAATGTGTCTTTCTGAATGGGTTGTCCAGAAATAGAAATTAGAAGAGAGTCACAGACAAACAATGCCCATAAAAGTACTTTCCAGAGAAGAAGGCAGCCAGACCAAAGACTTGCTTTGCCTGTGCAAGTAACAGGTGCATTCAGCTGCAGAGGTGAGTGGAGCAGATATCCACTGCTGAATCCTGCAACTCACACACTTTGTTCAGATTCCACACTCACAAATGTAGCTTTACATAATAAATTTGGTTCCTAAGGAAAACTAGCACACTGGCCAGAAGATGCAGGTATTCGGTCTTATTATCAGTATGTGTTTTCCCTCTACCTGAAGCAAGAAACCAGAATTCTAGTTTAGCCTCAGTGTTCTGTGTCTTCAGGTAGCGTGAGTATAGTATCCCTAGATGCTGTTTGAACAATGACAAGAATGGTTTAGATTCTGCCTATTTGAGAGTCAGCCCTGGATCATGCTACACTGACTAAGGTAAGGCCATCTTGAGATACCTTATATCAGCCAGTCAGTCAATGTTTCCCTATCTCATTACATCTTCTTTTAAATTTTAGTCAAAATTAATTGACTTCTCTGCCTGCAAATAAATATTGATTGATTGCCCTGTCTTATGATCTAGCTTATATCTTGCATTTTATTTATTATTGTTGTACAAAAATATATTTCTCTCCTTGAGAGCAGGTATTGTTTTATTTTGTTTATGGAAATGAATAAAATATAATTATATCCTCCATATACTCAGGCTAGTAGGGGTGGCAGACGGAAAAACAAGTTATACATCTGACAAAGATAATAAAAGTATGTATAAAGAACACAAACATTGCAAAAGAGTGGGGGGACCAACCATATTGGGAAACCTTTCTAAAGGAGGTGATGTCTGAGTTAGATTTTGGAAGATGAATAAAACATCAGTCACTGCAACCAGAAAAGGGAGGAGCATTCAAAGCAAAGGCAATAACAAGAGAAAAGGCAAAAGTGTGAAATGACCTGGGAACCAAAGCACAGCTTAGTGTTTCCAAGATGTGAATGCAAGGACAAGAGTCATGAGCGATATGAAGCTGGATAGGTAGAGAGAGGATGAAAAGTTTGTGTATGCCCCATAATGGAGTTCAGACTTTCTACTGTAGGTGATAGGAGCTAGCAAAGGCTTTTCAGTACAAAAGAGGCTGGATTGGATTGAGTTTAGCAAGACATCTTTAGCACCAATGTGGGCAAAGAAATGAAAAGACGCAAGCCAGAAAAAAGCAAAATTAGATGATGATAGATAAATAGATAGATAGAATAGATACATAGATACATATACAGATAGATAAAGAATGAAAGACAGCATTTGGAAAAGTCCAGACTGAGCACTATCCAAATGAAATATGACATGGACCTCAAATGTAAGCCACGTGTTCAATTTTAAACTTTCCTATAGTCATCTGTCCCAGGTGTCATAAATTATTGGTTATTAAGGGGAAGAGCTAAGATTTAAACCTAAGTAGTGTAGCTTCAGAGTCAAAGCTTATAATTTGACTCTGAAGCTTACAAAACACATCATACTGCCACTCTGAAAGCAAAGCCTGTGGAATCAGACAACCTGAGTTCAAAGAACTCCTCCTTCACTTACTAATTATGTGACTTGGAGAAAATTATTTGATTAACAAACTTTGATTTTCTCATTTGTAAAATTGGAAATAATATGCCTATCTTAGGAGATTATTGAGAGGAAAAATTGACATAATATATATAAAATGCCAATCACAGTGATAGGTATACAATAAATATTAAATAATAGTTGCCATTATCACATATATTGGGCTTGGAGCTCAACATATATCCAAGTTGGAATATATATTTCCCATCAAATGTCTAACATAGTTTCTGGTCTAGCTCTGTTTTCTTTTTTTTTCTTTTTTTTTTTTTTTTTTAAGAAATGACTTTGATTCCTCATAAAGGCATATGTTTAAGGAACTTCGCAAATCAGAGCTACAGGCTGTGATCATCCTAAGTCAATGGTGCAAATAATTACGGGTATTAGATCATGAGACAGCATTGTTGGGTGTTCATGGCACTTAGATACTACAGAGAATTGCACTGGAAGTAAAATATATGTACCTTGCTCTTACGTTCAAGGAGTCAGAAAGAATACACTGAATCATGAGAGCATGTTTGCTTGTATGTCTTTTCATTAGTTTGTGATTTTAAAAATAGTAAATAAAAATTATTCAGCAGACAAGGATCTATGGTGATTTGCCTAAAATCCAAGAAACTTTAATCATAGGTTCTAGGTACACCTTATCTCCTATTCAGATCATCT